ATGCACACAGAGGGAAAAGCACAGGAGATGCTGAAAACACAGAGCGAAGAGCACAGAAGATGCTGGAAACACAGAGGAAATAACAGGGTAGCAACAAATGACCTGATGAAGACCAAACCGAGTCGAAACGTCATCAAAGTTAAGCAGCTGCGGAGCAAATTTTAAAGCTAAAAAAAAAGCAAGCCTAATACTAATTCAAGGAAAGTAAGGGAAAGAGAATGATGGGGGTGCCAAGCAACAAACAGTTGAGAGTGGAAAGATTAACTGGGGAACACTAAAATAAGACTGGGCTTGTGGACATTGACATGTGAGGTGGGAAGGACAGCCGTTGGAACCCGGGGACCCTTGACAGACAGTGCACCTGAAGGGCCACGCCCTTCTTCTTATTCAGTTCCTACCTGGCCCGTGCCCTGGCTGACGGTGTGGTTTGGTACCGCCTTGCTGTTGGTGTCTGCAGCCCTTTCACAGGCCAGTTTGGAACCATTAAAATTAATGTCTATTTCCCTGCCTACTAACCCACCCAAACCCTAACCAATGTCTTCCCCTACCCTGACCCTTGACCCCTTCCTGACCCTAAAAACAATTTTTCATACACCCCATCCTTAATTAAAACCAATTAGTTTTCATTTTAAAGCCAAGAAACAGAATGTCCGGATACCAGTGAATGAGGCTTATAAAAGGGAGGAGCCAACACAAGGATAAGCAGAAGCTCACAAACAGAGGAGTTGATCACATGGAAAGAGGAAAAGCTTTTGGGGTGCCTATGGAAAGAGGAAAAGCTTTGGGGGTGCCTAACGAAATTAATAATGTTGCAGGACAGAGGGGAAATGCACAAGATGCATACAGAAAAAGCACAGAGGATGCTGAGAACACAGAGCAGAAAGCAGAGAGATGCACACAGAGGGAAAAGCACAGGAGATGCTGAAAACACAGAGCGAAGAGCACAGAAGATGCTGGAAACACAGAGGAAATAACAGGGTAGCAACAAATGACCTGATGAAGACCAAACTGAGTCGAAACGTCATCAAAGTTAAGCAGCTGCGGAGCAAATTTTAAAGCTAAAAAAAAAAGCAAGCCTAATACTAATTCAAGGAAAGTAAGGGAAAGAGAATGATGGGGTGCCAAGCAACAAACAGTTGAGAGTGGAAAGATTAACTGGGGAATGAAGATATAAGATATGTACTTTTCTCTGTAATGCTCTCTCGTCCAGTTTAACTAGAAACTTGCATGCCTTAGCAGAAAGCCAAGTGCATGTTCTATCTTGCTCGGTACTTTCCACCCTGTACTGGTAAACAGGAACTAGGGTTTCCTGTTATTTCTCGACCTTTAAGCACCTAACTCATATTTTGTGCAAGCTGTCAAAATGTCTGCGGTTGAGTGCGGGCGTGTGGAGCTTCAATAAATACAGCCGCTTCAACAGAGGAAGACAGAATCTCAGAGACAGCTGTCAGGACAGAGCGCGGGTTCTGTATGAGGCTGTGAGCTTCTCCACTGCTGCGGTGAACTTTGAACAGGTTTCTGATTCTTGACTCCAACCCTTGAAGCAGAGAACAGAACATCTTCCATCCTCTTCTGATGACCTCGTACCTGTATTGGTTTTAACAGAGCATAAAACCAACAAAATTGGCGTCACGAACAGGATCCTCTCTCAGCTGATGAGAGAGGGAGGCAGAAGAGACCAATTCGAAACCAGACCCAGGAGCCGGGACCCAGACACAACGGCCGACAAAGATTAAGGTAAGCAGACCTTGTTATACAAAATCTGCTCATTGAACATATTCAAACTAATTTGTGTCGAGGTTCCTGGCAACTGAGGTCAGTAAATTTGATATAATTGTAAAGAGTTGGAGACAAAAACTGAAACTCTAAAAGAACAGGTCTGGGATCTGAAAGAGTTTTATAGAATAGAAAGATAGAATTTCTGGGATTGTCACGAACTACAGCTGACGAGCACAAGTTCCTCTGACAATATTAAAAGCCCGGAAAAGGTCGGGGACCTTGGGGGAAAGCCTCCTAAACAAAACTTTGTACAAGATCAGGGATCTTAAGGTCGGGGACCTTGGGGAAAAAAGTCCCCTAAACGATTGAGAAAGATCAGGGATCTTAGGAAGTGTTACTACAGGTCTGGGACCTGTATGGTTGTGTTCTTCTATTTTTGTTCACATAAATACACAAAGTGTGAGTGCTGTATTTCAGGGGAAGGACCCTGTCCTCTCTGAAATATCAGATTACATAACAAGAAAGGACCTCACATCCCCTTTCTTTTTCACATTGGAATCGGCTCACAGCTAGCGGAGCCAAATTAAGGTTAAAGTGAAAACACATAGACTATTTACACTCATATACTAATTAATATTCATAAGCGGACGCGCAGCATTATGAACCGCAACTAGGAGGGTAATGCATGAATGAACTGTTGAATGAATGAACTGCTGATATTAAGTGTAAAATACTGAGTGAGAACCAATATAGTACGCCCTTGTGGATGCACAGGTAAGAACTTCCCGCCTGAAAAGGTAGAAGCTTGGAAGTTACCACAACGGTTTTTAGTACTATCTCACGATAAAAAATCAGTGATTAGAGTTCAATAGGAACTAAGACCTCGCTGATCTAAATCGCCACCAAAATCAATAAAGATTAACTCCTACCATTAAAAGAAAAATGGACGGAGAGTTTGATAAAGAGCAAATAGATGATGGGTGGGGACCAAACGAGATCCTGAACACACTGGGAGAACAACTAGCGTGTTTAGAAACAGTGATCAGCACCACAAATGCCCCAGCTGAAGCGACAGAGCAGAAGAAGCTATTAAGAAAGACAGCAGAGAAGTTGATGAAGGAGAAAGGAAAGGATGTAAATAGTGCAGGGAATTGGGGAACAATTTGGGGACAGAAGGTAACAGAAACAGAAAAGAAAGAGGAGGAAGCACGAAAACTGATGGAAAATGCTGGGATGTTTGGGAAGAAAAAGCATCAGAAAGAAGTAGAAAAATTGACAGCACGCAAAGCCAAATACAATCAGTGGGCCCTGCTGTGGAAAATGGCAAAGCCTAAAATGAAGAAAAGAAAAATAGAACAAAATGTAGCGGATAAACAGCCACCACCTTACTCAGGCATATACCCGGTACTTAACATAACCGGAGGAGTGATGTCCATAGAGGAGGAACAGCCTACTGCTCCTCTATTCTCAGTGTCGCCTATAGCCCAGCAGGATAAAAAAAAAGATATTTTCATGAGTAATCAACAGGCTTGTTCATCCCTGTCACAAGCAAAACAGATTAACGATGACAGGCCCTCCACCCCAAGGTCATCCTGTCCCTCCGTGACAAACGGTGACGTTTTGCCCTTCACCGGCCGAATGATCAGACAACAGGTAGAAGAGATGGTCAGACAACAGGTAGAAGAGTTGGAAAACACCATGAGGGAGGCTAGGGAGGCCCCTATACCCAAACCACAACAAACAACACAATGGACAGGTAGTTTTACTCCTATCTGCCCACCACCACCAGACTCCTTAGCTACAGCTTTACCATTCAACCCGAACAACCCTTTCACCGTTAAAGGTGAACTGAGAGCTGCCGCTCAAACTGAGCAGACCACACCACAGAACCTGGTGGTTACCATGAATCTGATAGGTCACAATGAACTAGAAGAACAGACATGTTCCAGTACGGACGCTGGCTCAGATAAAGAATGGTCTAGACAAGATGATGAGGACCCAATAAATGGAATAGAGGCTGAGTTAGTGGACCTAAGCCTTAAACACAAAACGTCACACCGAAGAGATAAGGTAACTCCGATCCCAGGCGGACACTCTTACCACACCAGATCAAAAGGGACTGCGTCGAATCTACCTGGACAATATCCTCTTGTCCAGGCCAAAACAAGTGGCCCAAAGGTATATCAACCATACACATTTGGAGACATCCAAGCTCTGGTTGATAAGCTTCCAGACATTGTAGAAGGAGGAAATGCCTGGTTGGCAGATTTGGATAAATATACCTCAGGACAGGACCTTGCTCTGGGAGATTTCAGGGCCATCATCACCAGATGCACATCCAGGTCTCAGGCTGCAGATCTGGAACAAAATGCAGGAACCACCCTATATGGGAATTAGGTACCATTGTTGCAGGTATTAAGGACTTTAGGACCAGCCCTACGCAAACAATTTCCACCTAAAAATCAGGGAACCCTCCATAAATTCAAATGGGATGGGAAAACCAATCCCACCAATTATTTGAACAAAGCCATAGATGACTGGGTGAACCATACAGGACATCACCCCAGCAGAGAAAGTTCCCAAAGCCTGTGGTTTAGGAAAGCTGTCCTTAGGGGAGTCCCGGAAACCGTTAACAATAAAATGGAAGACAACCCTGAATTGGCTGACTGCGATTTCAATAAATGGAAAAATCATCTGATTTTTAACCTCAACAAAGTCCAGGTTACAGAGGAGAAGGAATCAGACAATCTAGAGGAACTGCAGAAACAGCTCCTTAGAGTGCAGCTACAAGCCGCTAAAAAGACTCTAGGTGAAAAGGGGGACAAGACCAAGAAACAAATGGTTGCCACCGCTGCTCCTCCCCCAGCTGTACCAATCCCTAATCAATACCCAAACCCCTGGCAGCAGCCGCCGCAGTTACCAGGATATAATCCACAGCCAGCTCCATTTGTGGCTCAAGGACCCCCATACGGAGGTCATAGAGGAGGTTTCGGAGGGCGGGGTCAGGGGCGACCTGGTAGAGGCCGAGGCATCCCAACGCCCAGAGACACTTGTTATAACTGCGGGCAGCAGGGACACTGGGCTAGAAACTGCCCTATGCCTCCTAACACCATGAGAGGACAAGGAAGATTTGGTCGTGGACAAAGAGGTCCCCGTCCGGGCCCCCAAGCGCCACTCCCAAACCAAATGCCTGTTATGGGTTGGGAGTACTATGAGGGTGGTCCACAAGCATAGGACACCCCACAGGGAGCCACGGACGGTGAGGGGACCACGGCAGACCCCATGCTGTCTATAACTGTAGATGGAATAAAGAGAGACTTCCTGGTTGATACAGGAGCCACGCACTCCACCATTCAATCTGCACCAGCTAACAAAACATCCAACCGCCATACTACAGTGATGGGCTTCTCTGGGGAACCACAAACTCTGCCCTACACCCTGCCTCTTCCAACTAAGGTGGGGGAACAAACTGTGTTTCATAGCTACGTGTACTCACCATCAGTTCCAGTGAATCTCCTGGGACGAGACTTGCTCATTAAATTGGGGGCAACAATTCTGTGTTCCCCAAATGGACTAACTGTGACCCTACCGGAAGGTACGGTGCTGCCCTGTGACGGATCTATGATGCCAGAAGGAATATACCTGGCTCAGACTCTACCCTCAATACCTGACTCTGCAGATATCTACTGGGCCTTGCTGGATCCTGAAAACCCACAGGCCCCTGGAATTGTGTCCGCCTACCAACAATGGAGGCCTTGGCTTTGTCAGGTTCGCCCGTATGTTCCGCCCCCTGACCCTCCTCATGTAACACTCTTTTATGACAGACAAGATACCAATTGGTACCAACAGGCGTTCCAGAACTCCTGTGAAGGAAATGCCTGGGAAATTAGGGTGTCTGACATTTTTGTCGCCCCTGAAGGCGTGGCAGCTGCTGTATCCCTTACCCCTGACCAATTACCCTGGTACATGATGGCAGACGAAGCAGTGCCCCATGTTTCCCTGGCCCTACATCCTTCCCATCAGGCCAAGGAACTGGGGGGAATGGTGAAGCGTTCTCTGGCAACCACCGATTGGAGCCCCACCGCTCTTCCTCAGGTTTCCTACTCCCCTATGACTAAGACATATAGGATCACACACAACTGCACAAATACATCTGCTCTCGCACATGAGGTCATTAGCAGAACTCACGGACGTGAAAAAACGGATCATCATGACACAGCCACTATGTTGTCCCAGCTTCCGGACACCCTGTGGTCAGCAGGACCAACTGATGTAGGTTTGGTTAGAACCCCACCTATTCAGTTTACCCTGACCGATACCTCTCCCTTGTGGATCCCTCAGTACCCACACAAACCAGAGGCTGAGGAAGGGATTGCGGAAACCATTGCGGGTCTGGTGACCGCAGGGGTCTTGGAACCATCTAGTGCAAACTGGAACACCCCCATTCTACCTGTAGAGAAAAAGGGAACAAGGAAATTCAGAATGGTTCATGACTTAAGACGGATCAATGCCCTACTAGCAACAGATTCCCTGCCTGTCCCTAATCCTTATGTTGCCCTGACCAATCTACCTCCATCTCATGCCTGGTTCACCTGCATTGACCTGGCCAATGCTTTTTTTTGTTTACCCCTTCATGAGGACCTTAGAGATGTCTTCTCATTCACCTTCCGAGGCCAACAATGGCGCTATACACGCCTGCCACAGGGCTTTGCCCTCTCGCCCGGCCTCTTCAATCAATGTCTAAAACAGTTACTGGACACATGCCCTCTGCCTGAGGACTGTGTACTGGTCCAATATGTTGACGATCTCCTCTTATCAGCTCCCACTGCAACGGCCTGTCTTGAAGGCACAAAAGCCCTCCTGCAACACCTTGCCTGGCTAGGCTTTAAGGTTAGCAAAAACAAGCTCCAGGTTGCTAGGAAACAAGTTACATTCTTGGGACGCATGATTTCACAGACAGGGGTGTCCCTCTCTCCCGAACATCGAAACTCCATACTGCACCATCCCAAGCCACGAATAGTCAAGGAAATGTTGTCATTTTTAGGCCTCACGGGTTACAGCAGAACGTATGTTCCCGATTATGTAGGCCTCACTGCCCCTCTGCGTGATCTCGTTAATGAACAGGGCATGCGCAACCTCACCGCCCCGTTAACATGGACAACTGCCGCAGAAGACTCATTTATTAGGCTGAAACAACAACTGTCCACAGCTAGTGACCTCGCCGTACCAAACTACTCTTTGCCGTTCTATCTAGATGTTTCTGGAACAGACACGCACATGAATGGTGTCCTGTTCCAGAAAAAAGGGGGAGAAAGACAGGTACTAACATACACGAGCGTTATGTTAGACAACACAGAAAAAAGACATCCTCCCTGCACCCAATATGCTGCAGGACTGGCAAAAATTATTCAAAAAACCGCCCATATAGTGATGAGCCATCCGTTGAAAATCCTAACCAACCATAGTGTAGTGGCCTACATCACCTCCCAGGCATTCACTATGACATCACTAAGACAGAGACGGCTGAGCAAAATTCTGGAATCACCTCACATAGCCTATACACATGAAGGTATAAATATGGCAGAACAAATGAACGCAGGGGAACCACACTTGTGTGCACAAATTGTAGAGGAAGGAGAGAAAATCAGGCCAGACCTTCAGGCAGAACCAATAGAACACGCAGACAAAAACTGGTTCACAGATGGATGTTGTCACAGAGACGATAAAAATGAACTAAAAGCAGCATGGGCAGTAGTGGAACTAGGTGAGACGGGGTGGACAACAGTTAAAACAAATCAGTTACAAGGACAACAATCCGCCCAAAGAGCAGAACTACGGGCAGTCATTGAGGCACTGAAACTAGCCGCAGGACTGAAAGTCAACATATACAGTGACTCAGCATACACTGTAGGCGCAGTCCACGTAGAGCTCAAACAATGGCTTAGAGCAGGGTTTCTGACGACCAATAACAAACCCATCAAACATGAAGCAGAAATGAGAGAACTGGCAGAAGCATTACTGCTTCCCGCTCAAGTAGCTGTAATCAAGTGCAAAGGACACAGTCAAGGTAATGACCTCGTATCTGAAGGAAATAGACAAGCAGACAAGGTGGCGAAACAGACCGCAGGCCATCTCCCCTCTTACAACATGGTAGTGGAGACGCAGCAAGGAAAAGCCCAGGAAGACCCTAGAATAAACATAGACATCCAGACCATAAAGCAAATGCAGGACAAGGCCTCTCCACAGGAGAAATCTTTGTGGGTGGCTAGAGGAGCAACCAACACAGACGTTTGGAGAGGACCAGATGGTAGGCCCATACTGCCACCTGGGATCAGACAGACGGCAATGGAAGAAGCACATGGGGTAGGACATGTGGGTGTAACACAGATGATGAGAAACTTGTCCCCCTGGTGGCATCCCTATTTAGCAGATATGGCCAAGCATTTAGTCAAAACTTGTACAGAATGCGCTCATTTTGGCATCAGACCCACCCTGAAACCCATCCAAGGCCAATTTCCTATTCCAACGTGTCCTGGTAAGGAGGTAATCATAGATTACACAGATATGATTGACAGAGTAAAAGGCTACAGGTACCTCCTGGTTTGTGTGGATGCGTACACTGGATGGCCAGAGGCCTGGCCTGCAAAAAAGGAAGACAGTAAAACAGTTATCAAATGTTTGATTAATCATTACATTCCCCAACATGGCTTCCCAGAAAAAATCAGATCAGACAATGGTACTCATTTTAAGAATAAGGATCTTCAGGAGGTTGAAACTATGCTGGGACTGAAACACAAGTTTGGTTCAGTGTACCATCCCCAGTCACAGGGGAAGGTGGAGAGGATGAATCAAACGTTAAAAGTCAAATTGGCTAAAATCTGTGCACAGACCAAATTGAACTGGTTGGATGCTTTACCACTAGCTCTGATGTCCGTACGGAGCTCAGTCAACAAAACCACAAGGTTTACCCCTTTTGAACTACAGACTGGACGACCTTTTCCAGGACCTGCCACTAAACTAGCCTTGACTACTGACCTAACTGATCCACCTGACCCAAGGACATATTATAACATCTTGCGGAGTCTTGTCTCTCAGTTTTCATTACAGGTCAAGGCCGACTGTGCCACAACAAGCACCTCTTCTACGCAACCAGGGACGGACTGGGTCCTGCTGAAGGTCACCAAAAGAAAGTGGACGGAACCAAGGTGGACAGGACCCTTCAGGATCACGGAGAGAACGTCACACGCTGTCCGGCTGGACGGCAAAGGTGACACTTGGTATCATTGGACTCAGTGCGCTGCTACGGATGAGCCCCAACGCACTCTGTCTGAGATCCAAAAAGAACTAACAGAGGAAACAAGACCCAACCAGGCCGAAGAATCTGCGGACCAGGATTAGAAGCAGACGATAGAACCACACCCTGCAGCTGCCAAGAGCCAGTGGAGGGACAACAACAGGGTGACCGGTTCGGTGAACTTTGAAAAAAAAAAAAAAAAACTTTTTACGACTGTGACCCTTGAACATGTTTGATTGATTGATTTAGCTATAATATCCGCACGTAGTTTTGTGATTGCCTTTAAATTGTTTTTCTCTTGCTTGCAGATTGTTATGATAATTTGGTGATTTATTGTGATTTTTGTTTTTTATTTTTTATGCTACCTTTCTTGTATTCGGGTTTCCGACCAGGCCACACAACTGGGCTTTTACCCCTGCAACGGTCCAAACTCTGTGGGGGAGGTTTCCCCGGTTGAGTCGCCTTGCTCGAAGGTCGGCCTGCTCCAGATCGTCTCATGAGATCCGCTTTCTGGGGCCTTGGTCCTGGATCTCTGTGACTCTGGGAATGGCTCGACGATTTTTATTTTCAACTTATGTTGAACTCTTAATAGAGTTCAAAAGGGGGATTGAAGATATAAGATATGTACTTTTCTCTGTAATGCTCTCTCGTCCAGTTTAACTAGAAACTTGCATGCCTTAGCAGAAAGCCAAGTGCATGTTCTATCTTGCTCGGTACTTTCCACCCTGTACTGGTAAACAGGAACTAGGGTTTCCTGTTATTTCTCGACCTTTAAGCACCTAACTCATATTTTGTGCAAGCTGTCAAAATGTCTGCGGTTGAGTGCGGGCGTGTGGAGCTTCAATAAATACAGCCGCTTCAACAGAGGAAGACAGAATCTCAGAGACAGCTGTCAGGACAGAGCGCGGGTTCTGTATGAGGCTGTGAGCTTCTCCACTGCTGCGGTGAACTTTGAACAGGTTTCTGATTCTTGACTCCAACCCTTTAAGCAGAGAACAGAACATCTTCCATCCTCTTCTGATGACCTCGTACCTGTATTGGTTTTAACAGAGCATAAAACCAACAGGAACACTAAAATAAGACTGGGCTTGTGGACATTGACATGTGAGGTGGGAAGGACAGCCGTTGGAACCCGGGGACCCTTGACAGACAGTGCACCTGAAGGGCCACGCCCTTCTTCTTAATCAGTTCCTACCTGGCCCGTGCCCTGGCTGACGGTGTGGTTTGGTACCGCCTTGCTGTTGGTGTCTGCAGCCCTTTCACAGGCCAGTTTGGAACCATTAAAATTAATGTCTATTTCCCTGCCTACTAACCCACCCAAACCCTAACCAATGTCTTCCCCTACCCTGACCCTTGACCCCTTCCTGACCCTAAAAACAATTTTTCCTACACCCCACCCTTAATTAAAACCAATTAGTTTTCATTTTAAAGCCAAGAAACAGAATGTCCGGATACCGGTGAATGAGGCTTATAAAAGGGAGGAGCCAACACAAGGATAAGCAGAAGCTCACAAACAGAGGAGCTGATCACATGGAAAGAGGAAAAGCTTTTGGGGTGCCTATGGAAAGAGGAAAAGCTTTGGGGGTGCCTATCGAAATTAATAATGTTGCAGGACAGAGGGGATATGCACAAGATGCATACAGAAAAAGCACAGAGGATGCAAACAGGGAAAAGCACAGAAGATGCTGAAAACACAGAGCGAAAAAGCACAGAAGATCCTGGAAACACAGAGGAAATAACAGGGTAGCAACAAATGACCTGATGAAGACCAAACTGAGTCGAAACATCGTCAAAGTTAAGCAGCTGCGGAGCAAATTTTAAAGCTAAAAAAAAAAAGCAAGCCTAAAGCCTGGTTTATGCTTCTCCGTCAGCTCCGCAAGGGACAGACACGCACGGATTGACGGAAGCGTTTTGCGCTTTTACTTCTCCGTCTCCTGGGGAGTGTTGCAAAGCAATTGCCTGACAGGACCACAGAGGGCGTAGCGCTGTTCTGTGGTATCCTGTCATGTATTGGTCCACGATCGTGTGTTTATATTGTGTTTTTTGTGTATATAAGAGACTTTTAACACGGACGTATTTGTCTCTCATTCTCCCACCGCTTCATGCGCTCCCCACCTCTAAACCCACGTTTCCTGTCATTTCCATCCACAAATAAAACGCTTGCTGCGCATCTTTTCACTCCTCCAGTCACGGGAGAATTAAACGTTCATATTTTTAGAGTTTTTTTCGCGAGGTATTCTTCAAGCTTCTCAGTGTCTGCCGCTAGTTATCCTCGGCTCTCTTTGCAATGGCGGCGCTGTAAACAACAGCGGCGTCCTGACCAATCACAAGCTTGCGTAATCCGTCTCGTTCGACGGATGTTTAAAAAAGTGGGCTCGACTCCGTACGTACTTGCGTGCCTGCCGGAGCCCTACGCAAGGACGGATAATGGCGTTGCGTGTCTCCGCACTGACGCAGACGGAGAAGCATAAATCAGGCTTTATACTAATTCAAGGAAAGTAAGGGAAAAAGAATGATGGGGGTGCCAAGCAACAAACAGTTGAGAGTGGAAAGATTAACTGGGGAACACTAAAATTAGACTGGGCTTGTGGACATTGACATGTGAGGTGGGAAGGACAGCCGTCGGAACCCGGGGACCCTCGACGGACAGTGCACCTGAAGGGCCACGCCCTTCTTATTCAGTTCCTAAATGGCCCGTGCCCCGGCTGACGGTGTGGTTTGGTACCGCCTTGCTGTTGGTGTCTGCAGCCCTTTCACAGGCCAATTTGGAACTATTAAAATTAATGTTTATTACCCTGCCTACTAACGCACCCAAACCCTAACCAATGTCTTCCCCTACCCTGACCCTTGACCCCTTCCTGACCCTAAAAACAAATTTTCCTACACTCCACCCTTATTTAAAACCAATTAGTTTTTATTTTAAAGCCAAGAAACAGAATGTCCGGATACCGGTGAATGAGGCCTATAAAAGGGAGGAGCCAACACAAGGATAAGCAGAAGCTCACAAACAGAGGAGTTGATCACATGGAAAGAGGAAAAGCTTTTGGGGTGCCTATGGAAAGAGGAAAAGCTTTGGGGGTGCCTAACGAAATTAATAATGTTGCAGGACAGAGGGGAAATGCACAAGATGCATACAGAAAAAGCACAGAGGATGCTGAGAACACAGAGCAGAAAGCAGAGAGATGCACACAGAGGGAAAAGCACAGGAGATGCTGAAAACACTAGAGCGAAGAGCACAGAAGATGCTGGAAACACAGAGGAAATAACAGGGTAGCAACAAATGACCTGATGAAGACCAAACTGAGTCGAAACGTCATCAAAGTTAAGCATCTGCGGAGCAAATTTTAAAGCTAAAAAAAAAGCAAGCCTAATACTAATTCAAGGAAAGTAAGGGAAAGAGAATGATGGGGGTGCCAAGCAACAAACAGTTGAGAGTGGAAAGATTAACTGGGGAACACTAAAATAAGACTGGGCTTGTGGACATTGACATGTGAGGTGGGAAGGACAGCCGTTGGAACCCGGGGACCCTTGACAGACAGTGCACCTGAAGGGCCACGCCCTTCTTCTTAATCAGTTCCTACCTGGCCCGTGCCCTGGCTGACGGTGTGGTTTGGTACCGCCTTGCTGTTGGTGTCTGCAGCCCTTTCACAGGCCAGTTTGGAACCATTAAAATTAATGTCTATTTCCCTGCCTACTAACCCACCCAAACCCTAACCAATGTCTTCCCCTACCCTGACCCTTGACCCCTTCCTGACCCTAAAAACAATTTTTCATACACCCCACCCTTAATTAAAACCAAATAGTTTTCATTTTAAAGCCAAGAAACCGAATGTCCGGATACCGGTGAATGAGGCTTATAAAAGGGAGGAGCCAACACAAGGATAAGCAGAAGCTCACAAACAGAGGAGCTGATCACATGGAAAGAGGAAAAGCTTTTGGGGTGCCTATGGAAAGAGGAAAAGCTTTGGGGGTGCCTATCGAAATTAATAATGTTGCAGGACAGAGGGGATATGCACAAGATGCATACAGAAAAAGCACAGAGGATGCAAACAGGGAAAAGCACAGAAGATGCTGAAAACACAGAGCGAAAAAGCACAGAAGATCCTGGAAACACAGAGGAAATAACAGGGTAGCAACAAATGACCTGATGAAGACCAAACTGAGTCGAAACATCGTCAAAGGTAAGCAGCTGCGGAGCAAATTTTAAAGCTAAAAAAAAAAGCAAGCCTAATACTAATTCAAGGAAAGTAAGGGAAAAAGAATGATGGGGGTGCCAAGCAACAAACAGTTGAGAGTGGAAAGATTAACTGGGGAACACTAAAATTAGACTGGGTTTGTGGACATTGACATGTGAGGTGGGAAGGACAGCCGTCGGAACCCGGGGACCCTCGACGGACAGTGCACCTGAAGGGCCACGCCCTTCTTATTCAGTTCCTAAATGGCCCGTGCCCCGGCTGACGGTGTGGTTTGGTACCGCCTTGCTGTTGGTGTCTGCAGCCCTTTCACAGGCAATTTGGAACTATTAAAATTAATGTTTATTACCCTGCCTACTAACGCACCCAAACCCTAACCAATGTCTTCCCCTACCCTGACCCTTGACCCCTTCCTGACCCTAAAAACAATTTTTCCTACACTCCACCCTTATTTAAAACCAATTAGTTTTTATTTTAAAGCCAAGAAACAGAATGTCCGGATACCGGTGAATGAGGCCTATAAAAGGGAGGAGCCATCACAAGGATAAGCAGAAGCTCACAAACAGAGGAGTTGATCACATGGAAAGAGGAAAAGCTTTTGGGGTGCCTATGGAAAGAGGAAAAGCTTTGGGGGTGCCTAACGAAATTAATAATGTTGCAGGACAGAGGGGATATGCACAAGGTGCATACATAAAAAGCACAGAGGATGCTGAGAACACAGAGCAGAAAGCAGAGAGATGCACACAGAGGGAAAAGCACAGAAGATGCTGAAAACACAGAGCGAAGAGCACAGAAGATGCTGGAAACACAGAGGAAATAACAGGGTAGCAACAAATGACCTGATGAAGACCAAACTGCTAAAAAAAAAAAAGCAAGCCTAATACTTATTCAAGGAAAGTAAGTGAAAGAGAAGGATGGGGGTGCCAAGCAACAAACAGCTGAGAGTGGAAAAATTAATTGGTTAACACTAAAATAAGACTGAGCTTGTGGACATTGACATGTGAGGTGGGAAGGACAGCCGTTGGAACCCGGGGACCCTTGATGGACAGTGCACCTGAAGGACCATGCCTTTCTTCTTATTCAGTTCCTAACCCACCCTAACCCTTGGAATTAATCTATTTCTCAGACAATGCAATGTGTTCCCACTGGTTTTTGTTTGAGAGTCAGGTCGTTTCCCCAATGGTTCTGAAGTGGCCTGTTCCATTCCTTTCACAGGTACAGCATTCACATATTTCATATCCATCATCATAGTAACGTGTTAATTCATCCCTGGGAAGGGTGGTTTGAATAACTTGAGCATATTCTACATTTCTCTCAACAGGAACATACTTGCAGTTTGGTTTGCAGTCATGATTAATAAAAGTTGCAGGCCCAAGCCACAGCTGCATGCATTTTTTTCGTGTGGAATACATCACACTAAAATAAGTGACTCCAGCCCTCAGCAAATGGCTGTCGGTTGGACACATGTCTGAAGTGCAGCCCAGTAAAAGCTCAATTCACTCTCCTGCACTTTGCTCCATTGATCTCTGAAGAATATCTATAACAGTGAGATAGCAATGGACATGTTGTCTGAGTGATGCCTGACAATGCCTTCCTAAAGACTTAAGTCTTTCCAGTGATTCCATCTCGTGTCAGGGCCTTAAAGGTTGCACTGAAATCACACGTCCGCTGAAATTCCATGAGGGTGTCTTTGAGTTAATCCCCACATTGGATGACTGATTGAGGACTTAAGTTAATTTTATGACTTGGGAAGCCCAGCAATGGGTCAAGGACCAAACTTGTG